GAAAAACATGTGTGTGTGTGTGTGTGTGTGTGTGTGTGTGTGTGTGTGTGCATGCCAATCCTGACAGGAGAGAGAGGGAATAAAAGAGATTGTGCCATAACTATTCCCCATGAACAGTGTTTTCTTCTTTCTTCTCTGCCACCCCAACACCTGTGAGCACACATACCATCTCTCAAAATTGGGGGGAAAAGAGTAGATAATGCCATAGAGAACAAAAATCCGAACAGTTTCAACTTTTGATAATGATGTAGAACAATGGAAACTCATACATGGCTGGTGGAAATGCAAAATCTCACAGCCACTTAAGAAAACAGTTTGACAACTGCTAATGTGGTTAAATGTACACTTACCATACATCTCAGGAATCTCATCCCTAGGATTTTGGCCCAACAGAAATGAAACTTACGTACACACAAAGACCTGTTCTGGATTGCTTAAAAACTTTCATCATGGGACCAGCAGTTACCGTAATGGCTATGTCGCTGGACTCCCACGGAGTCGACCGCGGTTCGCGTCCCGGACCGGGTGGCTTAAAACTCACGCCGGGCGCATGTGCGTACATGCCCAAGATCCCGAGAGGAGAATGGAGGAGAAGGGATTGCGGTGTGGCCATCCCCCCCAGGGAGGGCGTGTGATTTCTCGCTTTCTGTCTCTGTCTGTCTGGCGAGCGCACGTGCCCTATAGCAAAAACCTCTCTAAAAAAAAATTATCATAATACCCCCAAATTATAACACTTCTGGTGAATGGATGGGATGGACAACTTGTAGAGCATCCATACAACAGAATACTTGTCAGCTACATTAAGGAGTAAATTGACACGTGCAACAACATAGATGATGTGGAAAAAACATGCTCAATTTAAAAAATCAGACACTAAAGCCTATACACTACTATACTATATACTACACTTACACGATATTCTGGAACAAGAGACACTATCAGGCCAGAAATCAGAGCACGGATTGTGAGGAATTGGGGTACTGACAGGGTATTGACAATATTGGGGAAGCAAGGAATATTTTGGAGTTACGGAAAAGTTCTATAGCTTGGCTATACTGTATGCTTTTGTCAAAACTCATCAAACTGTACACCTAAGAGAGGGAATTGACCTCTATGCAAATTATACTTCAACATACCTGAGTCTGGAAAAAACATCCAATTGGAATATGACCTAGAGATGATGTTTATATTTCCCCCCTGAGTATAACAGGGATACCTGCAGGGATTTTGTTTGTAATTTGGGTCAACACTTGTCAGAGAAGGTTGTGGGTACCACCAGGCATGTATAAAAATATTCTTTGCAGTGTAGAAAGGATGTATTAGGAATTCAAATGTTTTTATCTCTTCAATTAACTGGAATTAAATTCTACTTCTGAATTTGTTTGTAAAGCACAGGGAAGGTTGGGGGCCAGCACGTTGTGTGGTGCTTATGGTACTGGATTCCCACATGGCTGACCACGGTTTGAGTCCTGGACCTGGTGGCTTGAAAATCGTGCCTGGCACATGTGCATGCTGGCCCAAAATCCCAGGAGGAGAATGGAGAAGATGGGGCTGCGGTATGGCCATCCTCACTATGGACCGATTTCTCACTTTCCCTCTCTCTGTCGCTCTCCATCTCTCCGGCAAGCACAAGTGCCCCATGCCAAAACAAAACAGAACACCCTACAAAACCAAAAAGCATAAGGAGGGCATCTAAAACATCCAGCTTTGTATGTGGTTGTACAGCTCCCATAAGACGGTATTTGTGCTACACACCTCTTTTTTCTGAGGGCCAGTTGGCACAGTACAAATGTCAAGAAAGCAGAAGAGATCACTATCCTAGAGCATGTGAAAATCACCCTCACTGGCATAGCCATTAACCACACCAAAGTTCTCATCTGCCACTCAACTACATGGATGGAAAGGAGGAAGAAGAGAGGGAAGAAGCAGGAAGAAATGAACAGAAGCAAAAAGGCTACAGTAGGAAGATAGAAATCTCACCAACACTACGCCCCCCCATGAAAAAGCAGAAGCTGAATCTAGAGACAGAGTGGTTATTAATTAAATGAATGTGAGTATTTTTAGTGCACACAGGTCACATCAAGAGTTGAAATGGCTCGGTGAGAATACTCCCAAAGACCATGAGAGGACCACAGGCACTGGTAAATCAAGGAATCTTAGACACTTGCAGGGTACACAAAATACTCAATGACCCCCCCCCCCAAAGGCAGAGGCACAGACAAATAACAACTGAAACTGGTTGTAAACAGAGTTCGATCTTTTTAATGCCCACTGGATGAATGTCAGCCCAGCCGTGTATGAAATCTATCAGCAAAATAAGTAAGGATGAGCATCCCAAGAGCAGAAAAAGGCAAGCCAGATAATAAATCGCTTCTAGGGACAGAGGGACTACATAATCTCTAACCAAACGTACGTGAACGTGTTAGAGAGGGAAAAGGAAAAAGAAGAAAAATACCAACCAGTGGCCTAGAAGTCTCAAGGGGATAAACCTGTCATGGTATATGATTTGTTTTCTATTCCCCAGGCAATGCTAAAACCTACAGATTGCCAATGGTTGAGAGTGCCAATCAGCGAAACTTTTAGGAGTCAAGACTTTGCACAATGCAATGGGAGATATTTTTACAAGGAAGGCTGATGAAAAAACCTCACGGCACCATCATCACGCAGGCAAAGTTCTCCCATGCTCCTAATATTCATGTAAAGAGACGAAGCTGCAGTGTTCTTCCTGGCCTTAACACACAAAGAGAATGCGCACAGTGCCTGAGGTCTGCCTTGAGAATTTATAAGAGAAAAGGAGTCCTCTCCCGCACACCTGCAGCTCTTCCCACAACCTCAGGAAAAGACAGAGGCGGGACCAAAATTAGTCCTGTCACCAATATGATTAATGAACATACCATTGTCCAGTGAGGAGATAGGAGAGACGGTTAGAGATCCAATGTCTAAACTTTAGTTTTTCATGCAAACATTGTAGCAAGGTTGTTATGAATTTCGACTCTTCAAATAGACATAGAAACATGGCATTGGGACCCAGTTCTAACATTACGACTCAGCTTGAGGAAAGACTGGTCCTGCCAGACAGCAAAATATATGCCAAGGCTGAACTAAGTTGTTAAAGTCCAGTGACAGACTAAGTAGCAAGAAGCAGATAAGACATAGGAAAGAAAAGGAAAAGAAAAAAAAAAGTTCAAAGACCCAAAGAAGATCTGAATACGCACACAATTCATTGATACATCTCGATATAGACCAGAAATCAGTACACTCTTAATCATCCAGAAACACCCTTAGGTCATTGGCCTATGTTTGATTGAAAAGCCTCTGTTGCCTCAGGGCTCCCTCAGGTAGTAACTTCTTCTGTGGCTTGTTCTTGTCCATCTGAAAGCTCACAGGAAAACTCGAATAATTCATTTGAATGGGCAACACAAATACACTCACTTAAAGGACATAAAGAGAGCAAGTAAAAAGTAAAGGAATACCTTCTGTCAAAGGAAAAGGAAGGTAGATAAAGAAGACATACAAAAAGGATGGAAAATATTGGGTACCAGACTAAAATCTATATTCTGGTGGAAGAAAGTTATTCAAAAATTAGAAAGGAGAAGCAGTTCTATCATGCTCCAGGAGGTACCCCTTAATATAGCTATTACATGGAAGCATTGTGAGTATGAGAGAGATAGGGAGAAAGAGAGAGAGAGAGGGAGAGAGTGAGAGAGTGTGAGTGTGTGTGTGTGTGTGTGTGTGTGTGTGTGTATGTGTGTGTGTGCGTGTGGTGAGAGATGAACAAGGAGTGCTAGGGAATACTCGGAGACACCATTTCTGTTATTGAATACTTTAGTACGTTGGAAACTCTCCAGGTGTATTCTATAAAAATCCTCTTTTGACTTTTCGAAACTGCTGGTGCTGCCTTATCTATCTGAGACAGGCGAACACAGATACTGGGGTCTGGGAGTCCTGGACCAACCGAGACAACATCACAATGACCTCCTTAAGATGATTTAGGAGTCAGAAATTTGGAATGGCCATCATGGCTATCTACTGGGCAGGACTAGTCTCAAGGGTTTCTTGATAGTCATGTGGTGGGCTGGGATATGCAAGTCTTTCATAAGCAGCCATCATTAAAACCATTTGTGTCGGGACCAGCAGTTAGCGTAATGGCTATGTCGCTGAACTCGCACATAGTCGACCACGGTTCGCGTCCCGGACCGGGTGGCTTAAAACTCACGCCGGGCGTGTGTGCGTGCGTGCCCAAGATCCCGAGAGGAGAACAGAGGAGAAGGGATTGCAGTGTGACCATCCCCCCTGGGGGGTGATTTCTCGCTTTCTATCTCTCTGTCTCTGTCTGTCTGGCGAGCGCACGCGCCCTATAGCAAAAGCCTGTTCAAAAAAAAATTTTTGTGTCATTTCTTTTTTTTTTAAAAAAGAACTTTTTGCCATAGGGCACATGTACTCTCCAGAGAGAGAGGGAGACAAAGAGACAGTGAGAGGAGAGGTGAGAAATCATCCCCTCCCCCCCCGCCCAGGGATTGGCGACACCACAATTCCTTCTCCTGGGATCATGGACACATAGGCACAGGTGTTCAGTGCAATTCTGAAGCCACAGGTCCAGGACTCGAACTGCATTTGACCATGTGGGAGTCCAGCGACATAACCATTATCCATCTGCTGGCCCTGCATAATTTCTT